TATATAAATTAACAATAGAAAACAAAGCAAAAGTTTTATAGGTGTATAGAGCGTTAAGTTAATTCACTTGTTATTATTTTTGGCTAAATATGCTTTTAAATAAAGCGTATTTTTAAATTTTAACGAGCCAGTTCAAATAATTTTGCAAATGGTACTGCACACTTTTGTCTAGTTCTTATTCGATGATCGGTGGGGAAATGAGTTTCGCAGACAAATATGATTGAATTTGGAATTATGCTACGGCGCATCCTAATAAAGGGAAGGGGCATATCTCTAAGTACTTGAAACGAACAGTAGTAGATATTTACGTCTTCATGTAAAGTAATTCAGAAATTGGATTAGGAATTATTCCACCCAAAGAAATAACGTTTCTATTAGAAAACTTTTTCTGAATTAGGAACGGTTTATTCAGCGAATGAAACTTGTTACAACTTTAACTTTTAGTGGAATCAACAGAATTCTTTCTTATATCTACCAAAACAACGACATCAATCAAAATGGACCAAACGAGGTCGAAACATGTTTGACAAAGTTTTGTGTTTGTTTCAGTGATCACCATGAGCGGTGCGACGACCGAACCGGAAGAATTAACATTACCAACAACGAATCCAAGCATAGTGTTTGAGGCGTCCACTCAAACACCTACCAATGAAACATGTGATTCCCCGATAATGACTGCCAAGGGGCATTTTTGTTTTAGCACGTCGGAACATAGTACCAACGCACTCACACTCATACATAAAATGAGACAAAGAGGTCAGGTAAGTTTTTCTTTGTGCTAATCTAGATAATTATGACTAGTAAGTAGATGATGCTTCATCTAGTGTGTAAGGCAAAAGAGGCAAAAATAAATAAAACTAACTAGTATGTTTCTATCATGTTCTATCGATAATGTAGCAAATAAGTCTTTTAAAAGCATTGAAAAGATGTTCAAACTTTTGTAATTTTTTTAGTATTAAAAGCATGGCGGTTTTCTAATAACTAAAGTACAATATAGTAATTAAATTTCTGAGAATTGAGACAATACAATTCACCCACTAAATTTAACTTTTACCTTGCTTGCACTTTACATTCTTTTATAAGTACTAATTGAGTATTAAAAAGACACAAAAGACAATTTTATACAAGTGAAATCAGATATTATTTAATTATTGTGATTCAAGGTTGAAATATTATTGCCTTATCTATATGGCTAAATCAACCGTTAAACATATGGAAAGCAATGAAAATGTCTGAAATAAAATTAAAATAGAAATACTTACTTCTCAAAGACTTTAATATCAATTACTTAACAAGGTTTTGAATATAAGAACATAATGTTTTTCTATTTTTTATTATTTTGTATTATTATAATAACATACAATATTTATCAGGAAATGTAATCATTTCAACTTTCAACCCCTGTTCATACTGAGCGGTCGCTAGGGTCTGCTTCCAATCTCTTCTATAATTCAGACCCTATTTATGTTCTACCGTCATCAACTATGCAAACATTCTTCCTTGGGGTTTTAGGCCTTGTAAAGTTGAACGTACAAAGCAGTTTCAAAATTCAATTCCAAAAACTTAATATTTTAATTATTTATTTAATGAAAAACATGAACCAAGTTGATTAATATTGAATAATAGACAATATATTTATCGAGATAGTGTCCTACATACAATCTTTCATCCCCATTTTTACACGTTTGGGGGTGGAATTTCAAAGAATTATCTCCTATATTATAGGAGTGTCAATGAATGCTAATTTGTCTTGTATATAAATTAATATAAACATAGATTATGAGAACACTCCATTACTATTTTGATTTATGAAATTAATTGTCATTTGTTTTATCAATGAGATGGACAAGGCCGCCTTCATATTGTTAAGACAGTAGACAAGGCGCCGATCACTCGAGTGGATAGTTCAAATTTAAATTTATGTGAAGCTTTAGGAGATATACATAATACCTGTTATCATCATCATCATCATCATCATAATGTCGACAGTCCTAAGACTGGTTGGACACGTACCTCCACTCTTTCCTATCGTCCTGAGCTAAACTTCGCATTACCCTAAAACTAGAACAGCCCACATCCTTAACTATTTGCGAAGAGTAATCTAATCTAGGTCTACCTCTACCCCTCCTAACTCTTGTTTCTGCCTCTAATATGTCTCTGACTAGACCTTCATGCCTAAGAAGGTGTCCTACCAACCTATCTCGCCTATTTTTTATTGACT